AGCTTTTTTGGGAGTGTTATGGGAGTGTTGTGTTGCTGCTTTCTTTCCAGATATGTGGGTTTCCTCCCTAATTTCTCAGTCAAGTCCACAGTCCACTGCTAAGTTTCCCTAGCAGTGCCCCAATGAATAGCTGTAAATTGAGGACTACCACTAGGCTGATCAAAAATAGGCTGAATTACCAAACTACATCCAGCAGTGATTGTGTACATGGCCATTATTCAGCTGATAGTTCTACTGTTATTATGTACGGCATTTTATTATCACTGCGGATTTTATCTAGGTTACAGAACGTTTCTGCATTATTGTTTATTTTTCCATTACAGTTTAATGTTATGCTTTCCATTGATATATGCATGGCTGGAGGACTGAAATTATTGGGAAGTTTAAAAGGATAATAAATAATGATGCAAGTAGTAAAAAAAAATGCTACTGACTTTTCTTATTTCTGGCATAATATTCTTCCACGGCATTTGGGAAAGGAAGCTGGAGATGAACCACAAGCCTAAAGAATGGACAGACACCAAACTCAAGTGGTGGCGCAGTGGTCAGAATGCAGTACTGCAGGCTACTTCTGCTGACTGCCAGCTGCCAGCAGTTCAATTCTCACCGGCTCAAGGTTGACTCAGCCTTCCATCCTTCCAAGATTGGTAAAATGAGGACCCAGATTGTTGGCAATAGGCTGACTCTGTAAACCACCCAGAGCACTGTGAAGTCTATAGAAGGTAGATAAGTCTAAGTGCTATTGCTACTTATTTATTAAGAAAATGGCATACAGCCATCCAACTTGCTGATGATAACTTCATCTTACAAAGGTAAAACCCAATATAAAAGCTAATAAACTCACATCACCCTGGTGACAACAATCAAACTGACCCCTTGATAGGGCAGTGTATCACCCTGGGGTCCCCGGCTGTGATGGCAGTACCATGTCTTCGGGGCCTTGCAAAAGAGTGTCCAAGTGGGAGCCAATCTTATTTCTGCAGGGATGATGTTCTACAGAAATGGGGCCACCAAAGAGAAGGCCCTTCTTCTTGGTCCCATTAGATGGATCTCCTTAAGAAAGGGGACCCATAACATATCCTGCCTCCCTGTTCTTGAAGACTAGTTTAATTCCAACGTGGATATAAGCAGCTTTGGGTAAATGATTGTGGGAAGATTGTAAAGGGATGCAAAAAAGATTAGACATTAAAAAAAAAATCAAGAGAGAGAACAAGAGTTTGTTGGTAGCTTATCTCATAAAGAACAATTTAGTCCAGGAAACCTCACTGTAAATAAGGATGGAAAATTCCTCTTGCAGTTTCCTAGGTTTTGTAATTACCTCCAGATTAGCGTTAAATATATGTTAGTGAAGTCTGTGTAATTCCTAATCTTGACCATCTCTTTGTATTACATCCTAAGAGTTTGTATCAAGTTACATACAAAACTTTCCCACTAATAGCACCGAACCATAGATGATCATTAAAAAAAAATGTAACCCAAGGCCACAGCCAAGAATCGAAAGGCTTCTCACAAAATAAAATCAAAATAAGGTCCCTCAACCTAGGACCTAGGTGTACAAATCCCTTGTACACCTGTCACTCAGCACCACTCCTTTTCCCTCAGCACCACTCCTTGTCCCAAGACTGAATCATTCATTCCGTGCATCCTGTATTATTTGTTTTGTTTACAATTAACTTTTCCATCCAGAGTCGGCAATCAAGGCTGATAGCCATAGAAACACAACAAATAAAATACAGTTAAAACACATTACTAAAAGAGACACTGCACAGACTAATTCAAGGAAGCACAAGTAGTCCAGGACTCAGGATCGCAATTCAGCCCAACATTTATTTTGCTACGTGAGACATTTCTTAAGTGAGTTTTGCCCCATTTTATGACTTTTCTTCCCACATTTGTTAAGTGAATGATTACAGTTATTCATAACACGGTTGTTGGCTTCCCCACTGACTGTGCTTGTCAAAAAGTTGCAAAAGGAGGTCTCATGACTCTGGGACAATACCACCGTCATAAATATGAGTCGGTTGCCAAGGGTCTACCAGTAATTGGCAAAAAAAAAAAAGGATCAACACTTCCAAGACACCAATATTCTGTATCCTGAAACAAGTACCTTGCACATTTCTACTCAGAATTAAAATTATAGACCATCATGAAACCATTTTTTCCACAGCCCAATCCTGTGTATAATTAAGCACCCTTCAATCAGTAAATGACAAAAGCATAAAATGTAATCAAGGCTGAAAGATGATTATTAAGTTCTGTAGTATAAAATCATTTTATAACCCTGTTCATCTGTGATAATTATGACTTCAAGCATGGTATATTCTATCCAAAAAAAAATATATTCCTAGGATGTATACCCTTCGGGTTTATTTTTTTTAATGGTTCCCCAGTGTATATTCATCGTAGTGACAAAGCCATAGGCCTGAACCCAGGTGTCTTCTGTTAACAAAACTGCAGATAAAAAAGATATCATATATTCATCAATGAGCTTATGCAATTTAGCTAGTTTTTTTTTTAATCTTGTGTTCTGTTCATGAGCTGAAATCAGGACCCACAATTTCCTGCTGTTTGCAATGTCACATGGGCATCTTAGTCATTATTAACAGAAAATTCATTGCATTTAATAGCCTGTAATTTAAAATACAGAGTGTCTACTTTGTTGTTTTAATTACAAGTTGCTTGTTGGGAAAATTAAGTTTTAGCTTTAGTTGATACATTGTGAATTACTGTTGCTACATTTGTAGCTTAAGGTAATGTATACAAATACTCAAAGTTCAACTTGTTATTGACTAGGAATTTCATTTTCACCTCCTCTTTTCCTAAAGATCTCACTTATGATGTCACCTCAAACCTTCCTCTAAAACCGACTTAATTGCCCTGCAATTACTTCACCCAAACATTGGCAACACAGAAAATATTCAAATAGGATTTACACCCAACCTTTTCCAGACAGAAACTTATTCTTGGATCTTTACTATAGGGGAAAAAAACAGAGAAAAAAGGGAAGTTTTTCCAAGTCTGAAAATAGGAGACAAACCAAATTGTTTGGCCTCTAACTTCTGTTTATCATAGTGCTTGCTGCCTGCTGAGGTCATATCCTGAAAAATTGCCAACTCCACTCAAGGGTTCATTACAGATAAACATAAAAATGTTTTCAAGTCATAATCTGTCTGTCCTTTGGTTTTCAAAGAGTCGCAGTGTGTCAAACAGTTCATGTACCTCTTGATAGCAATGAGGTGGAAAACCCAGGTATCACTCTTGTGATCTCTCAAAGATTCGGAGATCACACCAGTAAAAATTGGCACTGCAATTATTAAATCAGACATATGCAAGGGTGAGAATGGATTGGGCACAGCTTACCAGATGCAAGATTTCTAAAACTGAAACACTCATGTTCTTGCTTAAACAGTCAGTTGAACATTGGTCTGAACATATCCAGCCCTACTTCATCTGGCCATGTGACCAGAAGATCTCCTATGTCTTTCCAGGCAAGTTTGTTTACCCAACCTAGAGAATGTTGCCCTCGAGATATTACTGAAATAATAAATTGAACTGAATTGCAGCTTGTCTGAAAAAGTCAAAACTAGTGAAAGAAGTAGCAATCACTTTCCCAAAGCACAGGTTTTGTTCAAAACATCTTACCCAAGGCTCTTTTTTCCCCCTTTCAAAGAACTCTAATTTTTGAAGCAACTTCAGCAGCTACACCTTTTAATAAACTTCTTTATCAGCAGCTTTTGTGTAAAGTACAAATAAAAGCTTGATCAGCAATGCCCTGGAAAGTTCCAGCTATGGAAAGAACGCTGCTTCTTTTCACCAATTGTTGAAGGTTACTTCTACAGTAGCCTTCACCAACCTGATGTTCACCAGATGTGTTGGACTTCAATCTCTCTATTTTTGTAGATCAGGAGGGATGGGTGCTGAAGGCCACAAGGGTTGAAGAACAACAGTTGAGGGCACTTGCCTCTACTGGGAGGAAGGAAGCAAATGACACACGTGATCACATCAAAAATGCAAATGACCCAACCTATGTATTTGCACAAGATCTTGTGAGGCAATTACATAATTTCACCACCATATGATGCATGTGTCATCATTCTGATCTCATTGTAAGTTGGTTAGAGGCAATACTGAGCGAACACATCTGGATAACACTAGAGTGAAGAAATCTCTTCCAGTAGATACAAACATCAGGTCGTGGGAGATCACACAAGTGACAACAGTGAAACACACATGTCACACGCCCCAATATGCCCCTCTAACTGAATCAGCCAAAAGAGCTAGGAATTACAAGAGTTTAAACTCAACTTTTCTGGAGAAACAGAGGTTGCCAAGATTGTTGGATGAGTAACACAGGACAAAAAAGACCAGATAGCTTAGGTTGGTGATATTCAATCAACTGTAACTAAACAGTTGGTTTAGGAGAATCCCCAAATTCTAGCAACACAAGCAACAAAGAGTGGGGCCAACTAACTAGACAGACCTGTACACCAAAGGGCCAGTACACAGATTAGCAAACTCAAGAGACTTTTGGTCTACCAAGGTGAGGCTGGTTCCTGCAACAAGCAAAAAGGCTGGTTAGCAACAAACCACAAGCCACAATTTCTTATCAGAAACAACAGCAGGCCAAGTTCAAGCATCTTGCAAAGCCCTATTGGCTTACACCACAATTTTCTGGGTTCACACAACCAGGAAGCCCTGGTTGCTTCATGCAACTAGAAAGCTGAAGTTGGCTCACCAGGATTCCCCTTGGATTATGCATCCGGGGAAGCCTTACTGGCTTCTGCCATGATTCCCTTGGGTTCACACAACCAGGAAGCCCTGGATGCTCCTTGCAACCCTGGAAACTCGGGTTGGCTTAGCCAGGATCTCCCTGGGATCATGCAAACCAGGAAGCGCCGTGGGACTAGCTAGGTCTTGCAAAGGGGCAAGTGGGCAGCCTTGACCCGCTTTCCCATAACGTCTGAACCCGCAAGCGAGGCTCTCCCGCCCTCTGCACTCACCAGCTTGGGCTTATTCTTACTCTCCTCCTCCGAGGGACGCCCCCCGCCGCTGCCACCCCGCCTGGGGGTGCCCTTTCCCGGCGGGTCTTCCCCTCCGGCCCCCTGGCCCTCCATGCCGGCCCGGCGCTTCCTTTTTGCTGGCCGCCTGGCTCCCGGCTCGCCCGCCCCGGCTGTCAGGGCGCTCGGGAGGCGCCTCTGCGCATGCGCTGTCGAGCCGGGAACGAGGCGGCGAGAAGTCAGGCATCCTCCCTGCCTCTCTGCCCAGGGCTGCGGGAGTAGGCCGTCAGGGCGCAGGCGCCAGAACGCGCTCACACACACTCGCTTTGCCCCCCTCTGCGCAAGCGCGTTCTTCGGAGTCTCCGAAGCCGCCCCGCTGGGCAGCTGCCCTCACCTGAAGGCTGGGCAAGGAGGACCCGGAAGCGCCTGCGAAGAAAGGGCGCCAGCGAGGGAAGCCTGGCGGAAGTCCGAGTGCGGGCTGGAGGCAGTAAACTGAGGGGCGGCATTAGACAAGCTGGGGAATACGCGCCCGTCACCTGGAAACCTCTTTTTTTAGGGAATTCATCATGAAACTGGATAGTTTTGCAATAAATCCAAACGTGTAACCCACAAGCACATAAAATAACATTTTTAAGTGCGTACATAGACAAAAAATAATAATTTTAAATGCACGCCCGCGTTGCTGTGCATGGAGGACCCCAAAGAACTTTGAATTATATAGGTTACCTCTATCGCTAGGTAGTATATTAGAAATTTAAACTCGGAAATGTTAAAATATTTGACTTCATTGGTCCCCTGAAAGGATATGAGGGACGCTTCCAGAGGGCCTCAGACCACATTCTGAGAACTGCCTGCTTAAGACAATTCAAAAAATATAACTTTGTGACTGAAAATTTTTTTTGCTATTGAAAAATATTAAAATACTTTGCTATTGAAATCAAGAAGGAGCTGTTTATAATGTGCCAATGAGATTGCTACCTCAAAAAAAAACAATTACAAATATGAAAACATCAAGTTAAACACCTTCATAATTGGATAAAACCGCCTGAAGGCTTGCCTGCAGGTCCAGAGGAGGAGTGGACATTTTGGAGATGTTTGAATAAACTGTGCATTTAAATAAACTAAAGACCACGTGTTAAAATGGGGTTTTCGCCCTGAGGACAAGGATATTCACAGCAAATGTGGCACTATTCCAACAACTATCCAACTTTTACAATGTTACCTGGCACTGACGTGCACATAAAATGAATTGCTGCTCTAAAATATCCCTGCCATCAACGTGGCCTGGCATTGGGCTAGAACTATATAAATGTATACTTTTATTAAAGTATTTTTTAATCTTTTTAAATTTAAATTAACAATTTTACCCTTTCTGGATTCTACATTTTTGATATGAAATGAAACTTTGCTTTTAAGTATATCAGCATCGTTACAGCAGACATAAAATGGTGGTGCTTAATACTCATTTAATAACTTTGCTGGGTGTAAAATGAAGGCATCTATCGCAGGAGCGACAGCTAATTTTGTGGGTCAACAAGAATTTCTACAAGCATGGACCATTTTGCCTTCAGCTGGAAATTCACCACCACCACCACCTTTCTGTCTGAAGTCAGGCATCTTGAGCTTAAATGGTTCAACCTGTGCCTCGTTTAATCATGTGATGTGTAAGAGTCTCACCAAGTGTTGGCATCAAGTTTCCTCGGAAAATGGAATGTTCTTTGGCACAATAGCACTTAGACTTATATACCACTTCATAGTGCTTTATAGCCCTCTCTAAGTAGTTTACAGAGTCAACCTAAATTGCCCCCAACAATCTGGGTCTTCAAGATGGAAGGCTGAGTCAACCTGGAGCCGGTCAGGATCAAACTTCTGACTGTGGGCAGAGTAAGCCTGCAATACTGCATTCTAACGACTGTGCCACCGTGGCTCACAAGCAATGAACTTTTTACTCTACGAGCCTGAATATCGTGCGAGACGTTGTACATGCCATGTTTTGATGTACACAGGTATGTCTTTATTTAATTTCTTGAGTGATTCATGGATTCAACCAGTTCCTTTCCTCCTTCCCCTCCCACCCCCAAGGCACAAAAAGCACATCAGCTTGTTCTTGCGTATACAGATACATAAGGCAAGGATCCAAGAAGCTCATCAAGATCGTTTTTAGATTTGCCCTAGGAGCAAATACATAAAGATCTTGAAAAATACTAATTTCCTGTTTGATTAAGCAGAACATCAATGCTTGGCCAGTATGATTCCTGTTGATATGGAAACCAAAAGTCTAAATCAAAGGTTGGAAACAATACTCTCCCTGTGCAGATGGGAGAAATTACTGAGTACTAATTGCTTCAATTATTTTAACCCTAATTTGCAACTGTAACTGTTGCTCTCATCCTTTCCTGAGGATACATCTTGGGAAAGGAGAAATAATAGCCACAATTGTATAGCTGTGTTCATACACGATGGTATTATTGGAAGTCTCCTAGAGTAGCCCCCACGGTGAGATCAGTAGCAAATAAATAAATAAATAAATAACTAAAAATGGCCACAATTGTGTAACTATGTTCAAACACGATAGTAACCCATGGCCAATTGTTTATGGTTAATTGAAAATTCAGTTATCTGGATTGGCCCAGAAGAATGAATCAAACTGTCTACACTTGTGAGTCACCAAATCCACAAATTTTAGAATTAAAAAAAAAGCTATAAAAAAATTAGGGAGGCAAGAACAAGTAAGCCTTGCTAAAAATTAATTGGCAAAAGCAAAGGGGGGGGGGGTCTCGTGCCACCAGCCAGCCCAATGGCTCTGTGCTTCTTTGGCCTCCCCATGCCACGTTACAGAGCCACGTTTTCACTCCATTTTGAAAGGCCAGGAGATGGGGGTCCCCCTCACCTCTGGGGGAGGCAGGATAATATTCCACAGGATGGGGGGCAATGGCAGAGAAGGCTCTCTTCCTGGACCCCGCCATTCAGAGCTCTTTAACTGACGGGATCTGCACCATGACCAGGTGGGATAGGCTGATGGGATGGGATAAAGCCGGTTCCATAAGCAGCCATGTAGGGGTTTTTTTGTTGCTACTGATACCTTTGGCAGGAAATCAATGTCGTTTTGGCCACTAGAGTATCTTCTGTTGTGAGATCCCAGAGCTGATTTTGTTTCAAAACTAAAGCACTTGTGAACACAGCACTCAAAAGAAATTAAATATTTTAAATGCACAGATCAGCTTGAAAGTAGTTGTGACTTCCCAGAGGAACTCTGCAACAGAGAGAAAAAAGGGGAAGTCTAAAAGTCATAGCAGAAAAGCATTATGTGGACATTTTTAGGCTGCAATCCAATGTCACTTGATGGCATATTAAACTTCCTTAAATTCTCTGAATGTTTGGTGTGGTGATTATGTTAAAAAAAAACTTTAGATTCTATTCCCGGGCTTTAGAAACTTGTTTTGCTGCCGCTTAAGAATTTGAAATATGTGAGACTTGCACTTAAAAATGTTCTTATTCCATAAAAGAACATCAGAGAATGTGGATGGTGGTAAAAAAAAAGGTGTTATTGACCTTAGAAACTGACTTGCTTGTTCTTGTTCTTGTTCTTTACTTATCTACTCTGATACTCTTACAAACTTGGTTATGTAAATATAAGAAAACGAAGTCTCCAAAGTTCTCAAATTCTTTTGAGATATTCTAAGCCACAATAAAAGTCGAATAAGGGCAGGTTTGGGGTATGTACAACCAAAACCTCTGGGTTTCTCATTCCATTTGTCCTGGATTAGTTTTTTAAAACCAACCAACTGGAGATGAAACAAGTAGAAACTTCAGATTCTGAGATAAATTAAAATGCCCATTCATATAAGTGGAGCTGCTGATTCCAAAGATGAAGGGCACAGAAAAATAAATTTCTAGAAACCTCAGTCTTCTGAACAGGAAAGGCCTGGATTAACACAGCAAAAAAATTGAATCTGGTTTTCTGAAACTGGGAAGAATTGTTCCCTTTAGTGAAGTTTTGTACAAATATTCTTTGTTCCTTGAGAAAGTGAGACATCCTCACTTGTTTTTCAAAATACAGCTGTCACATGTATGTGCATTCCTCTAAAACGGGTAGTCCACCTTGGCTCTTTTATGACTTGTGGACTTCAACTCCCAGAATTCCTGAGCCAGCCAGGCTGGCTCAGGAATTCTGGGAATTGAAGTCCACGAGTCATAAAAGAGCCAAGGTTGACTACCCCTGCTCTAAAAGAAGTGTTTGCAGATTTGCAAGATTCGGTTATTGTAACCTTACAGGAAAGATATGTTGTTGACTTGTGCTTCCTCTCTGGACTACCTTGAAGGGCTGACAAACTGTGATGTTTGACCTTAGCCTGTGCTCTCTATATTACAACTTTTTATTAGCAGTAACTTTAGTAATAGGAATATTAGGAGTAACATTAGCATTAATAGCACCAGCAATAAAGGTAAAAGATGCTTTTAAGTCAGAGTCCTCATGACTACATTAACGGCATGGATATCACTGTTTTTAAAGTGGTGTTCCTTGACTTCTCTTCACATTTTTAAATTTCCCTTTCCTTCCTATTTTACTAGGTTGATCTGGTGGTCTCCTAGCCAAATATATCTTACTTTCAAGCCACAATTAGCTTGATTCTGCCACTTCCTGCTCATATTTTTATGATGGTTTTCTTCTTGGAGGAGGCTAAAGCAGTGAATATATTTTCCATATGTTGAGCATTAGTCATGGAACTCAGAAAAAGTTGCAGTTAGTTTAAATTGTTCCCATGCTATATTTCACGCAGCAAGGCAAACACAAACATGTTTTATTACTGTTTATAAATACAGTAAATTAGTTAGAGTACAAAGGGGGATGTCAGAAGCTAAATACTTATCTATGTTGTTTTTAGTGGCAGGATCAATGGCTACTTTTATTCTTTTTTTTAAAGCATTTGTAAATAACAATACAGTGCAGATTTTTGACACAAAGCTCAAAGATCTATATTCTTTTCCATTACTTTAACATTAACTTGAAGTACTTTGTCTGGTATGGTCAATATTTTATTTTATTTTATTTTATTTTATTATTTTTTAAATGTATTTGCCATTTATCTTTGCCCTGAGGAGATTCTGGGCAGTTT